CTTCTCACTCCCTCAACTCCTCGACATTGCGCGCCAATTGATCCTCCCTCTATTTAAGCCCTTCGCGGAACAGTTGGAAGTTAGGGTCCTGATTGTAGATGTCGACCACCGCACGATGCTTGGTGCGATATTCTTGATATTTAGAAGACATCTTCCTATAGATGGCCGCCCTCTTCCTTTCCCAGCGCTCGCGCTCGATCTCCACGATAAGAGTCTAACACAACAAGAAAAAAGTTAAAACAAAAAGACATGTCGACAATAACAACGCAAACCCAACGACAAAAAGGAAGAGAAATACATCTACCCGCAAGGCCATACCGGCAACGTTACGAGACAACTTCATGTCGCTCATTTCTCTAAGAGACTCACTCTCAGGGGCGGCACATAAAGGGGCTAAATCAGACGCCACCTGATCACAGTTCGACAACAAGTTGTAGTCCCCATGGACAACTATATGCCAATCAGAACCCTCCACTCTGACCTTCACATGAGTATGGCGTTCTAAAAACTCACGAACATCCTCTGGGTCGACATTCAAACCCGAGCCTTCGCCCTCGATGCATAGGCCCCCTCCAATGTTAGACAATGCGCCACCCTCAGCGGAGCGCATGGAGCCGCCTCCTGGGTAAACCCTTTCTGTTTGGGGAGACCTCCCCGCCAAGATGGCGTCGGCCATAAACGTGGGCACAGGTGCCGTCTGCGATTCACCCGTCCTACATTTACCAGTGTCCACAGCCACATCCTTCCCAAGCTCCACCCTCCTCCTTTTCCTCAGTAATGACTCGTCCCCACTAGAGGATTCGTCCACTAGGTGATGGATCAGTACAGAAGAGGCCTCTTCCCTCACGACCATATCGCGAGAAGGATCTCCCATTTGTATCGGTTGAGCATGACCCTCTCGGACGGACTCACTTAAAGTAAATTGCATTCCTGCAGCAGCGACAGCCTGTCGAAATGTAGGGACTGGGGCCCTCCTCCTTAAAGCTCCTCGACCTGTCATCGTGAAGAGTCGTATCAATAGACAACGGTATATAGTCAAGAAGTGATACATGGGAAGACACTTACCAGATAAAACTCTCAGCCCAAAGCATTTCACGAAAGTGGGTCAGTCTCGAGTCTCCGCTACATGGGAAAGCAGACGGGCTACCTAATCCCTTATACCTGTAATAGGGTGGGTGGATGCCCCATAGCTGCAAACGAGAAGCAAACAAACACTAAGGCGAATGAAGAAGAAAAGAAAGAGTAAAACAAGTGGTTACACTTACGATTCTCGTTCCACCATTCCGGGAACCTAGCGGGGTCAGACACGATGTGTTCAGTTCTGACGAAGAAGTACTTGTGCCAAAATTTGTGACTCGCTCAGTCATCGGTCCTAACCACAGTCCTTTCGTCCCACGATGCCTCAAATGCACCATAGTACCCCTATGAAAGTTGGGTGAAAACAAGTGTAGAAGGTGGTGAACTGTAACCTCGCACCCCGCCAACTCCGCGTATTTTTCGACAACAGGAGTATTTTAAGCGTGTACGGGGAAAGTTGTGTCGGGAAAACCTGATAGAATTGACAGAATTCTTCCGCTAACGGGAGAAGGGGGAAGGAATGACCGATCACGAAAGGGCACTTATAAAAGGCACAGTACCCAGGCCTATGGACTTCCACGAAGTCCCATCCCACTGGAACCATATCAACATGAGCGGGAATTTTATATTTTGCACGGAGAGCATCAATATAAACTTGTTCAGTTTCGGAGAACACGAGGATAGGAGGAGGAGGAGGATCCTTAAGAAAGTCGCTCCGAGACATAGGGTGTCTCGGCAACAACTCCTTCATGGTGGGAAAGATATCCTCCTCCTCCACTGTCATGTCCTCACTGCCAGAGGGGAGCGCCATGGACAACGGAATGGCGTCATAAATCCCTTCACGAGATCAATGTATTCTAGGCATCTCTTCGGCGTAAAGGGTGTTAAAATAGCAGAGAAAGCCAAGAACGAAGAATGGGAGAAGAGGAAGCAGAGAAATCGTTGGAACAAACACGGGGGAGATGAGAAAGAATAACCAGAGACAAAATGGCCAAGAGTTTTTGAAAAAACAAACCCTCCACCTATTTATAGGATTGGGTGGCACCAGAATCGAAGCGGAAGGCTGCAGAATGGCACCGAAATCGAAGCGACAACCTCTCATCCCCTGTCTCGAAAACACGCATAATGATGACGCACGTGGAAATGACATCATTTTCCGATAAGATACGCCACCCAGGGTCTTGTTGAGCACATTAACCTCCCATTGTTGGCCAAGCCATAACGCTTCGTGAAACCAAATTTCTCCAAAGGAGTGGGTGGTGTCCTCTTATCAAGGACACACCAAGTTGCAACCTCGACAAGCGGAGGGACTAACTGTATGGGTCCAAATATGGACGACCACGGCTATCGACAAACACGACAAAAGACAAGATCTTCATAGCTCGACATTCTGTGGAGGACGATAGGCAGCGGACGGAGGACGTATAACTTTTACAATGGTGTAGGCCCAATAGGGGGACACTAGGAATATACTTTCGAATATTCCCTATGATATGTATTTGAGGGTTTAGAAGGGGGTTGTCCCTTATATATAGGGGGCTTTTCTGCTTTTTAGGTGGAGGGGAACACTGATTGTAATACTTTCCTACAAAAAGATTGGCATTCTTAACGTTCGATCACTCATTTTCGCAAGATCAAGAAATATTATCCATTGTGTTCATCTTTTATACATTTTGTTCTAGAGTTTATTATACTTAGCTAAGATTTACCCTTTCACTCTCTTTAATTGATTTATTCAAAAAGGTTCCAATATCTTTTGAGTCAAACAACCAGTAGTATTAGTACTATTCTTACATTTTTGTACTCCTAAATCTTTGTTATCCCATATTGTGCCATTCTTACTGATTTTGTTAGTAGTATTCTTGTAATTCTTACTTTTAGATCTTTGTTATTACACATAGTGTCTTTATTTTTTCTTGTATTTTTATTGTTGGTTGCTTCCCGATTATGTTCGTTAAGCCGAGGGTCTATCGCAAACAACCTCTCTACCCTCGCAAGGTAGGGGTAAGGCATGCGTACACACTACTTTTCCTAGACCCCACTTGTAAGATTACACCGGATTTGTTGTTGTGGTTGTTGGATCTCACCAGTCTAATCAATAGTTTCTTATTGATTACTGTAGTACTGTAACTTATAAGAGCTTCTTGCTTTTTTTTTCCTCTCTCTTGTCCCCAAAGTTCTTCTTAAAGTAAAAACGCGATAAATAGATAAAAAGAGAGTTCATTATTTTTTTTCTGACAGTAATAAATAAATCTAGTCAATCAAACTACTTGAAAATTACATAAAAATTTGTGTACTCTGATAGCTTGGGACAAAGTGTGTAAGCCTAAAAGGTTTGGAGGTTTGAACATTAAAGGATGTAAATCATGGAATATTGCATCAATTGGCAAACTGTTATGGCAAATAGTCACTAAAAAAGATGTGTTGTGGGTTAAATGGGTACATGGGATTTATATAAAGAACTGCAGAGACATCTGGAACATAAACCACCTCAAGAGTGTAGTTGATATTACTGGAGGAAGTTGAATTCATTGAAAGAAATGATGGCACAATGGTTTAATATAGACACATATAAGCTAACTCCAAATGGCACATATTCAGTAACATGTAGCTATAATGCAATGCTTGGGGATATGACAAGGATGAGAGAAGCTGACTTGGTTTGGAGTGTTATAATATTATCTTATGGCTTGCTTATCAGGATAAATTGCTAACAAAGGAAAGGTTACAGAGACTTATGGGAACATGAACTGCTGTTTATGTGAGCTTGGAGTTCCAGAAACTCAACTGCACCTTTTTGCTCAATGTGAATGGGTCACTGAAGTAAAGAAAAAACTGGCTATATTGACTGGTGTCTCTCTCCCACAGAAGCCTGCTAGAAGCACCCTGCAACGGATCAGAAACAGACAATGAAGGCAATTCAAAAAAGAAGCTATTTATGGAGCTATGATTTACTATATATGGCAAGCTAGGAATTGGAAGATATTCAGGAAATTAAATGTAAATAGTGAGTTTATAGTTTTACAGATTCAAAAAGAACTTAGGGAGAGAATAGCAATTGTACATGCTCTAGAAGAGCTAGGAACTATAGAGTTTTGATTAATAGGCTCTGTAATTAGATTACATAGGTGGGGAGTTGTCTTTCTGAGCACCCTTCCTAGAAGGTGGTTTGGAAACTAGATGCTCTTAGTTTGTAAAGCTTTTTGGTTGTTATGGTAATATTCACAGTTTATTACCATAAATAAAAAATAAAAGTCGTGTACTATTTTTATTATAAGGTAATTCCATAATTTTATACAATTTTATTCTTCTTATTGAATCAAGGAGTTCATTATACAATTTTTATCTGACAAGCTTTAAAAGAAACTTGTCAATATTTAAAAAAATTCAACCAAAAGTTATTAGAAAAATATATTTATCATATGTAAAAACTGCTCATTGAATAATTTCTTATAATGACATTTGATTTAAAGAATTCATTTCAAAACCCTTTTTGAAAATTTTCACAACACCTAAAAAAGAAAAATTCAGAAACAAATTTCATTGGCCATCCCTCTAGAATATGTGTTATTATGGAACATGATTCAAGTTTGTATCGCCAATAAATATTTTTAATGCAGGTTTAGTATAAAAAAAGGAAAAGAAATTACATTTACCCAAGTGGTAGGAATGATAAATATAGGGAAACTATTAAGTTTATATCATAGCTAGAGTATATACTATTATGGTGCCAAAAGTAAATAGAATTTTTTTAATTTCACATAAGTGGAATTAAGTGAACCTTTAAAAAATTTATCCAATCAAACATCATACAAGTGTACGAGCCTCGTCAGCTTCAATATCTTATTCAACAATGCGGGTCCCACTTCCCACTATCTCTTCATTTTTTTCCTTTTATTATATTATTATTATTATCATCCCCGTTGTATCCTATCCTAGTAAGTATAAATAGAAACCTTAGCCCCTTGTCTATTCCTCTAACTATTTTTTTTGTAAAATCTATCTGGCTATCTAAGTAGAGTACTTATTATTAAGATCTCTTGATTCTTCATCTTCAATTATGGATTGTGTTTACAAAGATCCTAATGCACCAGTTGAAGAAAGAGTCAAAGATCTTTTATCAAGAATGACACTTGAAGAAAAGATTGGTCAAATGACCCAGATCGAACGAGCTGTTGCTAATCATTCTGCAATAAGAGATGGTTGCATTGGTGAAATTCATTAACCCCTTTATCTCTCTTTTTTTGTTTTTTGGCTTTGTATTATTGAATTAGTTATGAAATTTGCAGGGAGTGTATTGAGTGGAGGTGGGAGTAGACCATTTGAGAATGCAGAGTCAAGTGATTGGGCTAACATGATTGATGAGTTTCAAAAAGGTGCAGTTGAGACCAGGCTTGGCATTCCCATTTTCTATGGGACAGATGCTATTCATGGGAATAATAATGTTTGGGGTGCCACTATTTTTCCTCACAACATTGGACTTGGAGCCACCAGGTTAGATGCACTTGTATGTGTAGTGTAGGTAGTTGAGTCTCTTAAGACAAAAACTACTGCCCGCATCCCACACCCTGGTAGCTGAGTTTCTTGAGTGAGGTTGAGCTCTATACTTATAGTTGAATAGACAATTATAGTTCATGGTGTTCGGGTCAGCTTGATTATTCTATTGGCCTAGTGATATTGGTGTAGGTGCTGTGATTCGTACCATTATCTATTCTTTGTTTATATCAATTACTATATGATGGGCTAGTAAAAGGAGTAGTGTATTTAAGTGGGTTTGGTGTTTTAGAAAGGCTGATAATACAGGTGTGTATTTCGCAGAGATGCTGATTTAGTCACAAGGATAGGAGTTGTGACAGCTCTTGAAACCAGGGCATGTGGAGCTCAATATGCTTTTGCTCCTTGTGTTGCTGTAAGTCAAAAAGAAAATTTTCCTTTGTTTTTCAACTTTAATATTGCCACTTTTGGGAAAGAGGACTAAATTTGATGCTTGTTGGTATAAATTTGGCTTGACTAAGAACCCCTTTGAGTTACAAAATATTCCCCCCACTTGCTATTAATGAAATAGACATCTTGAGAAAACTTTTCTGCTTTCTTGACATAAATGCAAAGCAAGCATATTTTATTTCCTGTTCCAACATTTACACCTGCTAATGAGGATTTATTATTGGTTGATTTTCTAATTAAGTTTTAAATTTTTCTTAACTTAATTGTCTATCTGGATATAATTCATTAAGAGAACTGATACTACAGTCTCCAGAACATAGTCCCTTGCTCATGAGTCATAGATGTTTTAACTATCAATATTCCTCTTGAAGTAAGACTTTCCAAGACTGTTAGATATGCAAGTTAAGAAAATAAGTTGTTAGATTTTTGTTACCTAAAAGGAAATTCTAGTGTCTTCTTGCAGTTTCTTCTGTAATGGCATTTAACCGAATCCAAAAATATATGATCCAACTGAATTATGGCAGGTCGTCAAAGACCCTAGATGGGGAAGATTTTACGAGAGTTACAGTGAAGATACTGAAGTTGTCAGAAAAATGACCTCTCTTGTTACGGGATTGCAAGGTCAGCCACCAGAAGGACATCCAAATGGCTATCCTTATGTTGCTGGAAGGTAGAGATAGTGATGAGCACTATAATTTCATTTATTCAAAACTTGTCATCTTGCAAAGTTAAAGCCAGGATTATTCTCCTGTCAAAACATGCTTCAGTTGGAAGTGCTTTAGTTTTTTTGACAAACTAGTAGAATGATTTACATCAAACTGTAATGTAGACAGCTAGTTGCAAGGAACGTTTTCATAAGTGTTAGAATCCTAACAAGTACAGAATGGACGTTTGATCTGTCTTCGTATAATGATGTTGTCCATATATTACTTTGGTAACTAAGTATTTATGATATCCTAATATAACATGTACCTCATAGATTACTTTATTTAGAGTTCTGCACCTCTTATCTTCCTCTATCTATCTCTCATTTATGCTACTTCTACAAACCTGCTTTCTCAAATACAGAAATGTTGACACTAGTTTCTTGATTTCAGAAATTATGTCATGGCATCTGCAAAGCATTTCGTAGGTGATGGGGCAACTGAGAATGGTACAAACGAAGGAAATACAATAGCATCGCATGATGAAATGTTCAATATCCACCTAGCACCATATATAGACTGTATCGCCCGAGGAGTTTGCACTGTTATGGCATCCTACTCCAGCTGGAATGGAGACAAAATGCACACTCATCGTTATCTTTTGACAGAGGTCTTGAAAGATAAGCTTGGATTCAAGGTAAAAAGATTTGAACTTAACTGCACACCTGAATACAAAAGTGCAGAAAGATATGTTCTTCCGAACTTTCACTTGCATCCCTGAAAAAAAGAACTAAAATATGACTTCTTTATTTGGATTAAGTTTGATAATTAACATGACAAATCACTTTCTTCCTATTCTTTTGTTCTCTTTGCTTCTACACTTTCTTTTCTTTTTTTCTGGGGGAGGAGGGCGTATGGGAGAGGCTTAGCCGAGGGTCTATCGGAAATAGTCTCCCAGCCCTTCCAGGGTAGGGGTAAGGCTGCGTACATCCTACCCTCCCCAGACCCCACTTGTGAGATTATATTGTGTGGTTGTTGTTGTTGTTGTTAGGGGGGCGTATGGGAGAGGTCCAAATGTTTGATTTTTCCCTCTTTAGCTTCTGCTGTGTCTTTTTCTAAGAGCACCTCTGTTCTTGTTTAGTTATTTCATTCTAATGGGGCGACAATTATACTCATGTGAGATGCGGAGAAGCTTTGTTATATGATAAAAGCAATATTCTGGTGCAGGGTCTCGTGATTACAGACTGGGAAGCACTTGACCGGCTTACTGACCCTCATGGATCAGATTATCGTCAATCAATCAAGTCAACCATCAATGCTGGAATTGATATGGTAGGATCAAAACAGTGTTTGAAGCCTAAATTTGCAGCTGTTTAGCCTAATTCAAACTTTCCGTTTGCATCTTGTGAATATTACAGGTGATGGTGCCATTTAGATATGAATTATTCTTAGAGGAGCTGTTATCACTGGTCAAATCTGGGGAGATATCGATGGCCAGGATAGATGATGCTGTTGAAAGAATCTTGAGAGTCAAATTTGTTACTGGATTATTTGAACATCCATTTACAGATAGATCATTGATAGAATTGGTTGGTTGTGAGGTATTCTTACTTCTTTCTGTCGCCTATTGCGATTATATTTACACTCTTCTGAACCTAAGAAGAAACTCCTGCTTAAAATGTATAAATAGCCTCTCCCGACCCCTCGTAAAAAATAAGAAAGAAGAATTTCGTCACTACTGATGTTGAAACTGTTTACCGGAACCTTGTCTTATTATACTTTCTCTTCACGAAATGCTTAAGTTTTAATGAGATTACATGTTTCCATCTCTTTTTTCTACGCAATTGTGATTCTGATCAATGCTGATTTTTCAGACTGAACTTTTCCCGGAATTTAGTGTTCTCGTTAGACTCTGTTAGAGTTTTCTTTAAGCTGTCTTGCATTTGAAAAATGGTGATTCTGGACTTCATCATCTTGGATCTGACTTAAGTCAATGTTATTGTGTCACATTGTTTAAGGCACATAGAGATGTAGCACGTGAAGCCGTTCGTAAATCCTTAGTCTTGTTGAAAAACGGGAAAGATACAAAGAAACCATTTCTTCCTCTAGATAGGAATGCCAAAAAGATCCTCGTTGCTGGAACTCATGCTGATGATCTTGGTTACCAGTGTGGAGGGTGGACTGCTACATGGACAGGACAAAGTGGCAGAATCACAGTTGGTAAGTACTCCCTCCTTTTCGATTTAAGTGTCTTAGTTTGACTACGCATCAAATCCATCTGTAACATGATTAACAGACCTAAGTTGCTCGGACTCTTCACTTTGGATGTTGCACCCGTATCGACACGACGTGGGTGTGAGTGTGGGATCCGTACCAGGATCTGGTCAACCGATTTTGGATACTTTGACCAAAATCAAGAGAGAAATTCGGGACAAATACAATAATTTCTAAATTCAAAACAAACGCTAGGGTGAAATTGAAGAAAATGGAATATTTTGTATATAGAAATTTCTATGTCAGTCATTTTCCTTTAATCTCCATCTCGGATTCTCCTCTTGTCAATATTTTCTCCTTCTCGGAATACCCACATAATGTTCATAATTTAGACATATATTTATAACTATGTTTTTAGATATTTGAATTACTTATAGCCGAATCCCTACTCCCGTATCCATACCTCGTTGTACCCCCGAATCTTGAAATTTAGATCATGAAGGATCCGACCTCTAGATTTGCACTCGTATCGGACACTAGCACCCGAGTCCGAGCAACTTACCATTTGCACATTACTATCGTAAACTCAACTGGATATATGATCCACTTTGTATAGGCACAACCATATTGGAAGCGTTAAGGAAAGTGATAGGAAAGGAAACAGAGATAGTATTTGAGCCAAATCCTACACCAGAAACTTTTGCTAATCAAGACTTCTCGTTTGCCATCGTGGCCATTGGTGAGGGTCCATATTGTGAAACTGGTGGTGACGATCCAGAGTTAAAAATTCCATTTAATGGAACAGAAATTGCAACCTTTGTTGCTGACAGAGTTCCTACAGTGACGATTCTGATTTCTGGAAGACCTATGGTATTAGAACCATCGCTCTTGGAAAAAGTAGATGCATTTGTTGCAGCTTGGTTGCCCGGAACTGAAGGAACAGGAATCACAGATGTCCTTTTTGGAGATTATCCATTTCAAGGGAAACTACCTGTGACATGGTTTAAAACTGTTGATCAATTGCCAATGCACGTTCGAGGGAATTCCGATCATCTATTTCCTTTCGGATTTGGTCTGACAGCCTAAACAAGAAAAAATGACAGGCACTTAAATGCTTAAATGAGATGGTCATGGATTCATCATCATACCAGCCAGTTATTCTTTGGTTGAAGTCCTTGAAGAGAACTTCAGCTGGATTCTTGCTCTTGAATGGAGAAATTAATTACATAGAAATATCTATATATTACTGCTGTATCTCAAATAACAAAAAGAGAAGCTAGTGGCTGTATCTTCTTGTATGATGTTCCATCAAGATTATGAATTTATGATGATTGCTTCAATGCTGAAATTTGATTTTGTTTTTCTCCTTTTTCCAATAGCTACACTATGTTTTATAACCTTACACAGTTACAGCCTTACATGACTGTATATTCATTTTCATTTGAAAAATGATTGTCCGGTAGGTTATTCGCTTTTTACTAGAAAATACATATGCTGCAGTATGTTTTCCATCCCTATTAGATTCTTTTTCTCTGATGCTTTAGTTCAGTAGTAAGAGCGCAGTGTGACCATGTGTTGGTTAGGCGCATGTCGTGAGTTCAACCCCTACCAATTACAAAGGGCAGTCCATTATTCACCGAGTTTGGAAGTGTGTGTTAGCTGGCTTCGAAGATTCTTGGATTATTAAAAAAAATGATTTTTTTTTCTCTGATAAGGAAGAAAAGCCCCCACATGAGATCATTCAGAGATCTCTGTGGTCCACAGAGCTAACCTTATTTACACCATAGCAGTAATTGCAGCATCATTTGTAAAATGTAAACAATGTCCTCTGCTTGATCCATTGGAATATCTTCCGAGAAGAAGAATTAGAATATTGTAATCCGAATGTATTTAAGAAGAAAAGAAAAACAACTTTTGTTTGCCGAAAGTGTGAGGTGTTGGACTAGCATGTGTGGCTGTAGTTGGTGAAAGAAGAGATGAAAATTCGAATAAATTGACTTAGTGACTTCCCTTCTGCAACTTGCAGATTATTATGCTCTCTTCTTTTTTATAAAAGAATGTTACTTTTTGTCATTTCCTGTGTGGTATTTACTGTTTTAGTAAACCAAATAAGCATAATGCTCTTGCCACCCTAAATTGAGAATTCCTCCCCGACTTGATGTGTTTGATTTGAATATACTATAAGTCCAAGTAAGCTAGCTGCTACTAAAACGGAACCTTGAGCTTAGCTCAACCCAAAAACTAGCTCCTTTCATATGAAGTGAAATCTTTGTTTTTACTTTCATTTTAAAGAAAAAAGAAATTGGTATGATATGGTATTAAAATAAGAAAAGCAATCATATATTCTTTGGAATACTGATTAGATCTTGTTCAGCACTCCACTCGTGCAGTAGTCACCCCAAAACTGACTAATACATTGAAGAAACTTTTCAAGTGAATGAGTCTAAAAGGAGAAAGTCACTGCATTTGATTACCAAAAGAAAGAAGGACAAGTCCATTATTTAGTATGACAAATCTGCCATGAATCTTGCTTTGTACCTTTAGATCATATTAGTTTACTCATTAATTAATGTTCCTACAAGTGGGATCTTGATTTTTTCAAAAGGATCCCTTGAAAAAGATCTCAAAAAGATTATACATAATCTCCAAGAAAAAGGAAAAAGGAAAAAGGGGGTGGGGATTTTGGATTATGGGAAGGTTTGAAGAATAGGATGCTTGAGTTAGTGGAGTGTAGACTCAGCTTCGACTATAAAGCTTTCAAGTCGGACGCGGTCAAGTAAACTTGTTCTTGCAAATAGAAACAGATCCAAAGATTTAAACTTGATTTATTCAACAATGGATTCGAATTTAACATTTGTTTTTGCTAAGCTGTGTCAAAAAACTACAGAGTAACTGTGTCTGCTTAAGCTTGCGAAAACACCCTTAAGACTGTTAGGTCTATCAACAGGGAAACATTTGCATTCAAAACAAAAGCTTAAATGTGCACTAGGAATATCCGGTGTTACTACAATCAATAGTCAAATCTCAAATGCCATAAAATTTCTAACAGACCTTTATTTGTCTGTGTTTTTCATTTAGAGTACAATAGCTAGTAATACTCCATGATCTTCCTGAAATGCACATAAAATCAGGCCATTTTCCTTGCATCTCTTGTAATTCTATTATGCCCTCAAAAGGATTTTACAGGTTTTTGTCCATTCCTCTATGCTCATTTTGCCACTGTGAACTCCACCTGTACTGTGGTTTTAAGTACAGACTACAGAGAGTAAGGACTTCTAAAAGGACACACTAACTCATGGCTAACTCAAAGTGCCAAGCAACATATATTCACAATACAAGAGAGATGTAGACCGACGGAAGCAGTAACAGAAGCTAGATACTGAATTGAAAATAAGCATATTTTGATGCACTGATCAAAGTTCTAATATTTTGGATATGCCTATGTCATGCATGATAGTAAGGCTGTGCCGATTGAAGCTGAAAATTCATACTTTGAGATCCAAAGTAAGGCTCACGCATTGCAGCTCTTTGCTGCAGACTTTGGCTTTGCATTTTAGTGTCCCCATAGGAGTTACCTCCATAAGGAGGAGACATGAACAAACTTCCTTCTGCATAATTAAAGCCATTATTCACCTGACTCCACTGAAATGGCATTTTGTGCATGGCATTGTCAGCCGATTTTGGTTGCTGGGAAATCACAGTGGATTGATCGATTGGAGTTGGTTTTTGGTGATCCGGTGAAGGCATTTGATTATCGTTGAGATTTATTGTTGTAATGTCATGAATGCTGGCGCGTCTTTTATCTTTGCCACCCGAAAGTTGTCTGATAAAGTACTTCTGAGCATGACTTGCGACTTGAGTTGGGGTTCTAGTAATAACGAAATTTCGCGAGATATTCCTCCAATCGCCTTTTCCATACTTTTTAAGCCCCATTAGAAACAACCTGAACAAGAATCAAGCAAATCCCCTTGTCAATCATGAAATTTGATCATATAAACATCAATGCTTGAAGAATCTTAGAAACTTAACAGATAAACCAAGTCTAACGTACATGTCAGCTTTCTCAGCACCCAAGAGTGAAGAACAACCAGAAAACTTAATAGGTTCAAGATTCTGAGCTTCATGGATCCAAAATTAATATTTATGCTACTTTTCAGGGGTTTTCACTTTTAGTATATATTTATAATCTACGCTAAAAATGATGAGTTCAACTGAATCAACTCCTAACACTTTAGGTCCGCCTCTGATTATTATTGTCAACTTGTCACATAATTATTTAGGTGGTGGTTCATTATTCCACTACCTGACATGTTTTGCCAAGTTGTTAAATGAACTGTGTGATATTATAGGGATACAACTATACAAGAAAATTTATAGTGTGGTCCATACAGAAAGAAGCCAAACATGCAATTTAAAAAAAACAGTGAAAGAAGTACACACACAACAGAAATAAACAATAATGAAGAAAAAACTCACTTATGTTCTTCCTCTGTCCATGGAATACCCTTCTTCCTCTCTTGTTCTGGAGGCCTATTGGACAAAGATCTTTTGCCTCCAACAACATAAGACTGCTTGTATCCATCAAAGCTGTTATGACTATTCCCCCATTCTAATGTAAAAGGTGAAGAAGAAGAGGAAGAAGAAGAAGTAGTAGTATAACCAGGAATAGTAATTAATCCAGCTTCTATCCTGCTCACATCATCTTCTAATTCCTTATATTGCCTAATTACATCAACAACTGTTTTCCCTGGAACCATTTCTGCTACCCTTTGCCATCTATCTGGTGTATCTTTATCAAACAAGGCAAGAGCATTTTCAAATGCCTTATTCTCAGCTGGAGTCCATTTTGTGCTCCTTTCCTCATCAAGAAACCAGCTTGAATTTGAAAGATAAGGAGCTGGTGATAAAATCTCCATAACCCCCACCTCAAAAAAAAAAAAAAAGTCAAATTACAGAGGGAAAAGTTACTAAAGATGGTTCAAGAATGCATTTTTAAGAAAAAGTTTTTGAATTTGAGGAAGCAAAGGACTCAGAGAGGAAATGTAGAGAGGCTGAGATTTTACAATGGCAATATCAGTGTTAAATCAACAAGTCAGCATCTATAAGGAATCAGAATACCTTTTTTAACCATAGCCACCTCCCCAACCTGAGGAATCTTGAAAAGACTCAACTTTTTCAATGTCAAAAGAAAAAATCCTAAGCTCTATGATAATCTTAAAAAAAAGAGGGGATTAACTATAACAGACAAAGATTATCTCACGCCAAGTTAAATCTTACAAAATATTCTCATTAAGATCTGAACCCACAGAACAATTTTGAAAAAGAAAAAGGAGAGAACTTTCTATAATTAAAGCTCACTAGCTGAAGAAACAAGGTGACACTGTAAAAAGCTGAAAATTGTTGAAACCCAAATGAGTAAATAGTACAAAGGACTCTGAATTTGAGAATTATAAGGGGCTTTGTGTGAGGAGAGAAAAAAGGAAAGAAGCAGAGAAAATTTGTGTCTGCTTTCTTCCTTTTCCCTTTATGACTCAACAACAAAGAAAAGAGAAAGAGAGAGAGAGAGAGAAAGAAAAAAGATGGTAAGAACAAGAGCAACAAGTAAACAATCTAGTCTAGTAATAAGTTTTGAGGAATTAATTTAAATTTACGTTCCCCAAAAAAATAAAAAAATAATTGGAATTTGGAGAGAGAATAGAGAGAAGGCTAAAGGTGGTGGGTTGTGATTGGATGGGCATGGTGCTTGTGGATACTGCAAACTTATGAAAAAGTTTTTCTTATTTTAGTGCACACTCCTGCTACCTCTTTTTTTTTTTCAAAATTAGCAAAAGAGAATACTAACAAATTTTTAACTTAGGAAAAAGGAATTAAAATTACAAAAAAGATATTTTTGTAAGACATGAAATTTGGTTAGGCTCCTCATGATGATTCGTGGAAGCTCACTTAAACAGAAAATATGTGTTGGTGGAAGGGGACCCAAATACATATAGGCAAACCACTTATTGGCAAGGGGTGGTTTGGTTTAAAGTAGAAGAGAATTTAATCTTCATATAAAATTTTGTATTACTACTTATATACCATTTGGCTTTTTGATATATAAAATTTTGCATAACTAGTACTCACAAAACTTATGTGGGGTCTAAGGTGGTAAATCAACTATTGCCTTTTAACTTATGCAATCCCACCATAATAGTTCTCATATATAAAAAATATAAACATTAGCAATAACCACATAAAAATTCTTAAATTATCTAAGAAATACATACATTATAATTGTAGCATAACTAGATCGTTAACGAGATGACATGTGTAATTTGGTTTGTCATTATCTAAGACAAATGAAAAAAATATAAATTTATGTCATTAGGAAAGATATTGTACGCTTAATTTTTTTGATTATGATTTGGTAGTGACATTTGTGTAATTTGCAGTAAAAGGGAATTCATTCCATGACTCGTGTTGCTGTCAACAGGTGGAATGTCAAAACCAATCACCTTTCATAATCCAAGATAAGGTCAGTGAGCTTCTGATTAGGATTAAGGTTTGACTCATTGTTATCAAGGAGAGGTTTTAATTCTCGACCTTTAAAAATTAATTAAACACTAAACAGGACTTTGTTTTTGTCAAACTCTAGTTTAGCAGGAGTATTGTTTTCTTTGCCTCAATTCAAGTGGCTTTACTTAATATTTTAATTAGCTGATAGAAACATCAGCTGCTTTATTTAAGTCACCTTTAAGTGACTAATTTCATTCGTAGAATTGAGTTTTTAAGTTACAAAAAAACTCTCTCTTTCTATCTCTAAGGTAAGTGAGAATATAGTTATAATAAAGATAGCCCTAGGCGCCAAGCAGAATTAAGCCAAGTCAAGTCCAGTCCAATTGATGAGCTTGACCTAAGCTTAATCTTACCTTTGACAAGATAGAGTCAAATCGAGCCCGAACTCCTCGTCATACTACATGTAATGTAATCTAACAGGTATACAATAACTTTTCAGCTCTAAATTAATAATCATTAAAATTCATATCAAGATAATCAATCTGAGACAGATGAATAATTTTATAATCTAATATGTGTATCTTGTTTTATGCCTTGAAAACATCCTTTTTAGCCATTAGGAGGAGAATGGGACATTAAGGATAAAAAGTGATCTCTAAGTTTACTTGCATCAAGAAAATGTCCTTAGTAACAATTGCTAATTTATGTCAGTGCAACTATATTGTAGCATTTGTAATAGAGAACTTAGCCCGTTCTATCTAAATAACCATACCAAATGTAGTCATTTTTCCATGGGAAGTTTGGATAAAACATGTCAAAAGTTCGAACCAAGCAATATGCATTTATCATAATTAAGTAATAAAACAAAATAAGAATGTATACTAAGTACTCCTAGTTATGCTTAAATGATTAAAGTTTATGTGCAAACACATGTAATATTTTTATTGATTTTGTGAAAATAATAATTGTGCATAACTTTTTATTTTTAAGAAGTCCCTTTCTTGCAACCATCTATTTTATTTTTAAATTAATTTTACCTTTCAAAAATATCTAGTATAGTTTTGGGGTATTGCCTTTTTAATTTAGAAGTACAAAATTGTGGGACCACCAGGGCCACTATAAATATCTATTATTGGGTAGCTTTCCTAAATCATTGTGAATTTGTTACTATTAGAGAAAGTTTGTATGGTGGCAATAATCACATGCGTTGGGTCCGATGGGTAGTTAATATAGAGGCGCATGGGATTACACCTAATACTTACTGCTACTCCACGAACGTGGGGACCAATTATTGTTGAGCACCACTAGATTTTCGAAACGTATACAACTTTTTCTACTGTATTTCTGATCTTATATAACATGATTGAATTTGAACTATAAAAATAGAGAGATTTCGGGAGAATTATACGTGAGCTTTACTCATTGCAAATTTAAATTTATGACTTCTGAATGCTCAAAGCAAGAAAAAAATACACACACACACAGTAAACATGAAACACATGGGCTCTCTCTCTCTCCCGCTCTTTTGCATTAATGTTCTTGATAATAAGAGACATGTTAATATCATTGTCAATCGTGAATCCAAGATTATAAATTTATAAACATGACATTCACTATATTTTAAATAAAGAATTTGAATTTACTACAAAATACACTATTTATATTACTCTCTCCAGTCATCCTTATTTGTTCCTTTAGCCAAAAAAGAACTGTTTAAATATATTTGTCTCTTAGAAATGTATTTATGTTACTCTTTCTAATCCGTCGGCTCGTTTAACTATGATCCCACAAATTTTCNAATCGTGGAAACATCCTCTTGCAGAAATGCAGGGTAAGGCTGCGTACAATAGACCTTTGTGGTCCGGCTCTTCCCCGGATCCCGCACATAGCGGTAGCTTTAATGCACCGGGTTGCCCTTTAGTTCTCTAATAATACTAAAAAGATTTCCAGCAAAATTGGAGTATATACCAACCAACACAACTAAAAATTTCAATCAATTGACATCGTTTATGTAAAAAAAAAAAAAAAAAAAAAAAAAAAAAAAAAAGTTGCAAAATTTAAGGTCAATGGGGGGTTTAATACAGAAGAAAGGAAAACAATAATGTTTTGGCCTTTCAACCAATACAACAAAGCGGTCCCCTTCTGAATTGACCACTGCTCCACTGCTTTCTTTGCTTTGTCCTCGTCCTAAGAGGGCGGATCTAGGATTTTTAATATATAGGTGCATTATATATATATATATTGATCTTTATTCCTTTTGATAAATAATTTAATTCTCAATCAAGTACACCATTCAATCTTCTTAGAATATAGGTAATATGTGTCAACAATTAATATTATAACCTTTTAAAAAATATATTTAATTTTGCAAAAAGACCATGGGTTCACGTGCCCCATAATTTTAAGACAAAACTTCATTTATAGCCCATCGGAAAAAACAAATATCATCCGGTAGCTCAAAATTACAGTATGCATTTTATAGCCCAAAAGTAATTCTAATGGCTAGCCACCGAATTATATATCTGACCCACAAGCTCTGTAAAAAAAATGGATCTTACAAAGGAGATTAAATCTCCAGCATAACAAGTTCATAGTAACAACAATACACAAACAAACACATGTTCACTGGAGAAATAATTTTCTGCCCGAAATGGTTTAGCCGGAAAACTTCACAGTCGTCGGAAAAGCTATATACTGGCCAGATCTACCGAAATTCAAATTAGCAAGCAAACCATCTTTCAGATCTAGATTTTTATAATATCAAAATCCCCAAAACAGTAAATAAAACGAGAAGAAAGAGTCGCCGGATTTAATGGAGGGTCGCCGGTGTTTGAGTTTCCGTCCAGATCTAAAGCCAATGACATCGAGCACAGTGGTTTAGACTGACTGAGTTTTGATTTCAATTTCACGATAAAGTTCGGTTCTTCCATCCAAGATAAAACGTCCCTTTTTTATGTCTTTACAAAGGTGCAAGTCGTTGGGTTTCTACTTGGGTTCAATCTGATGGCTTTCCTTCTCTCCTTCTTCCTATTTATTTACCTTTTTATGTTTTTGAATCCACTAATAGAAAACCATTCACTGGTTTCACTCCTAAAATCTTGTCACTCTCTATTCTCATTGCTTTTTTATTAGATTTTAACAACCTTTTATTTTCTTGGGGTAATTCATATCTTCCCGTTTCAACAAATTCTCTTGTTTTATCTTCACGGTTAGCTTTCACTCTTAAAACTTCTATAATTATTGTCAAACAAAAAATCACATATGCAAATCTTAATTGTGTTATTTTGTCCAATGTAGAGGTAGACCATGTATTACATTTTTAGACTGTATTAGACTGGAGAGCAGATTTTTTTTTGGATATTGGTATATTACTAAATATATACAAAATAGACATTCACTATACAAAAATTATATAAAATAGACTGTCACTGTACAATTTATATATAATAGACTGTCACTATACAAAAATATACAAAAATAAATTATCATTATATAAAAAATATACTAAATAGACTGTTACTATACAAAAAATATACAAAATAGACTGTCATTATACAAAAAATATACAAAATAGACTATCACTATACAATTTATGTACAATAGACCGTCACTATACAAAATATATACAAAATAGACTGTCAATATACAAAAAAATACTAAATAAATTGTCACTATACAATTTATATACACTAGACCGTCATTATACAAAATATATACAAAATCTGTCACTATACAAAATATATACAAAAATAGAATGTCATTATACAAAAACTATACAAAATAGACCGTCACTATACAAAAAAAATATACAAAATAGATGTAACTATACAAAATATATACAAAAATAGAATGTCATTATACAAAAACTATACAAAATAGACCGTCACTATACAAAAAAAATATACAAAATAGATGTAACTATACAAAATATATACAAAATAGATGTAACTATACAAAATATATACAAAATAGATGTAACTATACAAAATAAATACAAAAAAGCTGTCACTATACAAAAAAAATATACAAAATAGATGTAACTATACAAAATAAATACAAAAAAGCTGTCACTATACAAAAATACATGATACACTCCAAATACACAGTGTGCACACATTACACGTACAAAATTGTATATAATTTATATACACTATAGTTACATATTAGAAAATACACATTATATATAATTTTGATACATTGTTCAGACAGATTATACATT